GGTCACGTACATGGGAAAATCTGATTGAAATGGTCCAAGCCTTTTGGTTGATTCAATTTGATCAGCTTTTTTTTTTGCTAATACAACAATACAAACGAAAATAAACGGGACGTCACTTAATATGCATGCAGAAGTATACAGCCACAGGCGTATGGCGTATCGCTGGCTGTAGGCTTTACCGGCTCATAGCTCCCTGCACGGTCGTCGGAAGCAATGCAACTCCTCGATGATGTCTTTCCACGTTCCCATGCCACCCTGCAGAGTAAATTAATTAACATCAGCCCACATATCTAAGCACTGTCTGTGTGTTTTTTGTAGAGAGAGAGAGGTACCAATAGACATGTCGAAACCACGGTTCTTGAGTTCTCTGTACTCTTGACACAAGGCACATTCCTCGCAACAGCAGTGAATACAGAAATCTGTGCACGGACTCTCTTCCAAGAAAAACTGCCCTCTTAGTTTGGATCGATAAAAGCACGAGTACAGACATGAGCAACCCGTTACGCACAGGATCAATGTGTACAGTGCTCCGCTTACTCCACATGCTGCACATAAATTTACCAATTAAGTGGTGACTGATTTGAGATCTCACACTTTAAACCAAATGATACATCTTGCGATTAGAGAGCTTGCCCACAAGTTAGAGTCTTAGAGACTTAGAGCAAGCAATTCGATCAACATATATATTTGTCCCTCTACAAACTTACACGTCGATCCCCTATCAACGATTTCTGCAATTCGGCCAAATGTAGCACATGGGCACCAGAACGTTAAGCAACCTGCAAATGATCGGTATCTAGATATTCGTAAGAAGAGAGAAGATGTGACATGTTTATCTATATTTTCGATCTCCAAAGAAATGCACTTACAGCTTCCAGCATCGTCGCAACAATCGCAGATACCGGTGGACCATGGCACTGGACATTGGGGTTGAATATAAATGGTGGTCTGGGGGGTTCGACGGTTAAGTCGGTTTGTTAAACTCACCGGTGCGCCGGTGCTTGTTGGTTGTTTACCGAAATGTGGTGGCGGCGGCGGCGGTGGTGGTGGTGCAGAAAGCACCGACGGAGAAGATGACTCATGAATGTCGTTGCAAGGATACATAATTGTTGTGACTTGAGAGGGGAGATAGAGATGAGTATTCTGTGGTTAATTTCTTGACGTAAGAAGAAGTGATGGAGCGGTGCAACTGTATGTTTTTCAGATTTGAATATCAAGTACAGTTTGATAACGGTTAACTACTTAGCGGTTTCTTATTGGATTGAGGAGGGATCTGTGTTGCCATTATCCTGAATTCCTTGAACAATTTTTTTCCGCTAAGGCTGTTTGGGAAAGAATTCCTTGAACAATTAGGCTGTGTTTGGTTTGAAGGAAAAAGTAGGGAAAGGTAAGAAAACCTTTACCAATCTTATATAAATTTCCTTGCCTTTCCCTACCTTTTTCCTTCAAAGGATGGAACATGGCTTAAAAGTATTGAACCATGAATATATAAATTTTGGATGCTCCAACATGATTTTACACCAGCACATCTCACCATGATATTGGGATCCACATTCGGATCTCTTCTACCCACATATCACTACAATGGCACATTAATTGAGAACATCTTATATCTTATGTATTTAAATGTTACCATTCATGGGGAGAGATGTTCCCAATGTATAGTTGTAGTATTGTGTGGGTAATATTCCACCACCAAATAGGAACACGATTTCATTTTTGGGCCAGTTCTAAATTTTTTATTTTATTTCCAACATCAATGAAAACAATTATTGTTTAACTACATGATTTTCTTTAATATGATTGATATAAAATATTAGAGATGTTTTTAATTTTTCTACAATTTTATATTTTTTGTAATTATTTCTATTTTGAAAGTTTTATTATTTAACAATGACATTATAGGATGACTCATTTCACTTGAATGGTTGAATTACTTACACACCACAGTGTATTTTTTGCTTGGTTTTAAATTTGGGTGTTATATTAAATGCTAAAAGTATTGAATATAGATGATAGATTTTATTTGAAGCAAAGAAAATTTATTAGTGAGGAAAAAATAATTTAAAAATAATATTTAATGAAAGAGATTGAAATTTGATACTTTAAATATAAGACTTAATGAGAGGGAATTGAATGAGGTAAAAAAGTAGTTTAAATTACATTTTCTGCCCATATAAGACTTAATGAGAGGGAATTAAATGAGGTGAAAAGTAGTCATTTAAAGTGCATTTTCTACTCTCACAATTAGAGAGGAACCAAATTCAAAAATAGGGATATTCTAATCAAACAAAAGTTTAACACTCTCATTCATACTTTAATAGTAATATAGATGAATAATAATAATAATAATAATTGATGCTAACTACATGATCAGTGACTAGAAATACAAATTTCTTAAGAAATGCATAGAAGAGTACTCCAGTTTTGCCTAAGAAATGTTAAGGATAAAACATATAAGGGGCTCTATTTGTTTGCACCTAGTCAATTTTACATTTGCTTGTTTATAACTATGATCTCCACTCTATACTAAATTTCTACTTTTTGTCTCATGCAATGTTAGCCATATAAATTTTATTTCTCAAAAAAAAAAAACTGATGTAAAATTTGCACCACCTTCCTCTTACTTCAATTCTCTTATATATATGGGGACCATGTCATCTTGCCTACTACCTCCTGTTTCATACAAAGGGAAAACCACATCATTTAAATTCTTGTTTTACTTTCATATACAAATAAGATAAAGTCAATTATAAAAAAAAAAAAAAAATGTATGCCTACTTACACTTTCATGCATTTAGACCAGTACAAATAAAAATTTCCCTATAAACAAACTGACCCCAAAGGAAGCCAAAAGGATAAATGAAATAAGCAGAACAAAATTTACAAATCTCCAATTAAGCAAACCGACTTCTCATCCCGTCATAGTTTGATGCGGGGGAGGCACCATGCTCGCTTGTGGTGTCTTCATCTGCTGCCTTGCCATGTTTCCATGCCATCCTAAGAAACCGGAGGTGTGTGTAGCATTATTCAGTAATCACCAATCATGCATCCAGCTACAAAAATTGCAATTTAGATCTCCTACCTCTTCCCATGAATGATGAAATGCAAATATGGGTGATATACTCAATGTACAGCTATAGTGAGACACACTTAAAGGTTAAAGATTAAACAAACTAAAGTCAAACCCATTGTGGCCAGTCGGATCGGATGGTCTCAACTCAAACCCAACCGAAGACTGCTACTGACCCAAAATTTTGTGGGTTTATTAAACCTCAGATAAAACACTCGTATTTTCCTTTGAGCTTAGATCTCTTATCCACAAGCTCTCCCACATTCCTACGCACAGGAGACTACAAGAATGCATTGAAAATACCTTGTCATTCATGAGATGTTCTTAACTTCTTATACATGGTTATAGTGTCTTGGGTAGGGATGTCAGCAAAGCTTGTGGATAGGAGATCCAGAATGCTCTCTTTTGTTTTAGGTTGATCTACCTTGAGTTGGGATCACCACCCAACAAAAACCACCCAAACACTTTCCAACATGATCTGTGTCCCTTCTAATATGATCTGTTTTGGGGGCATTTGGGGGCACAGATCACGTTTGAACGTGCTGGGAGTCTTGGGACAATCTTGTGTTGGGAGGAGATCCTAATTTGTCCACCTAGGATTTTATGCCCAAAAAATAGAAATTTTTATGAAGGTTGCGTTTGGTAGAGGTGTAAAATCGAACCGAGGTAAATTTTGCATACCAGTTCGATTTTGCATATATTTGATAAACACGTAATCTTTTAATTACACTGATAATCGATGTAATAAATGCATCAAAATTTCCAACTTTCTTCTTCTTCTCTCTCTCTCTTCCTCCAACAGAGAACAGAGAGGCTGGAAGCTCTCTCTCTCTCTCCAGAGGACGAGAACATGACCTGCGACCAGAACGAGAACAGAGAAGCACTCACCTGGCAAGGCATGAACCATTGTTTCCGCTCCCCCTCTCTCTCTTCCCCTCTCCATCTTCTTCTTCTTCTCTCTCACTTTTTGTTCAGCAGCTTGTTGGCTTCTCTGTTCTCTCCCCCTTCCTTCTTCTTCTTCTTCTTTATTGTCATCCTTGTACATTCTAACCGTTACACCAGGTGAGTGCAAAAGATAACCGGTGGTCTTCCAAACAAGCATCAGTATAAAACTTTTATATGACCGATTCATCTTTTACACTTATCTAATGAGCTGTTTTTCAAATACAACGGTGTAATTTTGTATTTACACCTCTACCAATCGCAGCCAAAAGAAAATTCATAATCGCAGCAAAACCTGTGCTTGCTTCGTCCATAAGCAGTTTGGATCTCTATACTCTTTTTTTAGGGCAAATTATTGATTCCCCCACCTTACAAATGTGTTACGGTTTGTAACAGTGACAAGTGGGGGAATCTTACACAATAAACTATCCAAACTCCATTGGGAGGGTATGTGTGTCATAGTTCATAGGTGGAGGTTATGTAAAATAAAAAAACAAATAAACATTTCACATTTGTAAGGTTGGATAAATCATAATTTTTACTCTTCTTTTTTTAATTTCTCATGCTTTCATGCACTTTCACATTGGAGGAAGAAAGTGTAGGAAATCGGAACAAGGGTCATGAACGGATTTTGGAAGTCTGATACCCGATCCGCCTATCTCGGGTTTAGGTTAGATTGAGATTTAACTTCATCTGATCTAATTAAAATTAAAGACCAATTATTTTATAATATGATTGATTCAATATATAAAATTTATACAGTTATATAAATATAAAAATATACAATTTTATATATTATACTATATATAAATTTATATAAAATAAACTCAATATTTCATATTATATTAATTATTTATTTTATTAAAAAAAAACGAATCAGATTAAAGTGTGAATCTAATGCAAGATAGGATTTGAATCCGTTCCAAGATCCTCAAATCCGATCAGATTGGGGTTCAGTTCCGATTAATCGGATTCAGAATCCGATTCAATCAGAACCGTAATCTGAAGTCCCTTCCCCTATTACGGTATTACCTATTGAAGGGTCAAAGCCTCTATGACGGAGTTCCCTGTATTCTTGGCAGAGAGCACAATATTCACAACAGAAGTGAACAAGCCAGTCGGGGCCGGGTGACTCCAGGAGCCCAAATTTGTTCCTCAGCTTGGTCCGATAAATGCACGAACAGACACAGGGGAAGCCGATAGCAAATTGGATCGCAGCATAAAGCAGCGCCATGAGCCCACAAGCTGCAACAAACAATAAAGCCACGTGTCAACATCTAAGAATATGTGACACAAGATCCAGATTGAGAAAGTTGATGACAATTGACAAGATAATAAGCGGATCTTGAATTGCGGACTTACGGGTTTGGCCATCGTCAACTATCTCTGCAATCTGTCCGAACGTCAAGCAGGGGAGGAAGAATGTAATAATAGCTGCAACAGAGAAATGTAATAGATGAATTTGGGTGCAATTGTACTAAATTGTGATAAAGAAAGAAACTTAATGAAGAGAAGAGATTGGATCTAACTGTTGGCGGGATCATCGAGGCAATCGAATAACCCGGATTTCCACCTTTGTTGAGTACACACCACCGGGTATCCCATGGGAATCCCAGTTTGTTGTGAACCTGGCGGTGGCTGAGGAGCGTAGTTTTCTGGGTATGACGGAGACGTGCACATCGGGTTTTGCATTGGTGGGTAGGGTCCTGGCGGAGGCGGGTATACGGGGCAATGCGGTGGTGGTGGGTATGGAGCCGGCAGAGGCGGGTACATCGTGCTTTGTGGTGGTGGTGGGTATTGATCCGGCTGAGGGGGTGGTGGTGGTGGTTGCGACTGTGGTTGCTTTATTGGGTCAGTTGACGGTGGTGGTGGTGGTGTTGTTGTTGGGGGGGGGAAAGGCTGAGGCTGGTTGGTCTCCGGGAGAGATGTCTCCGGTTGAGGATTCTCTCTCTGGAGACTAGCCATTTCGCTCTACCTCCTGACTTATGGCTCACTTTGGTTATTCCAACTCGTCGGAGGGGGGCAGTTTTGTAGAAACTGTGGTGGGAGATCGCTTAATTTAGGAGATATTCACTTTTGGTATGATAAATAAATAGCAAACGACTATGTGGACCAGACCGAGACCGGATTTGCTCCTCACACCAACATTGTTACAATACACTGCCATGAATTGGGAATATCTCCCCTATCCGTATATGTATTTTGCCATTCATGGGAGATGTTCCCAATACATGTAATATGAAGATAGTGAAATGAGTAAATCCGAATTTAAAAGGGACCATGGCGAAGAGTCTACTACATCTGTTAATAGCAAATAAGGTTAAACGCATCAGAGGTTAGTGCCATTTGTCAAATGAGAATTTGGATTTGCTCATAGAGCGCTTTTCACACCAATCTCACGTTTCTCTGTGTCGTTGTGCATTGAAAACATCTTACCATAAATGATAACATCATAATATAGGAAATGATTAGATGAGCTGTGAGATAAATGGCAATTGATAGCAGAAATACATGATACCGAAAAATTAAAGCTTGTAATCAATCCAACCCTATTAGAAAAGTTATAACCAATTTGATATATAACAATCCCTTATATCGGTATTTATGCAAGTGGGTTTCTGTTAAATTTTTTGGCATGATACTTAGGAATGTCAATGGGTCGGGTTTGGCACGGGTTTGTTTCAACCCTAATCTGACTCTCCAGCACTCCAACTTGATCCGTATTATTTCAAATATATTTTTAACACATTTTGAATACTTAAAATACATAAATTTAAATAAGAAAAATGTTTTAAAGATTCTAAGGGGTTTTTTTCCATTTAAAAAAAGAAAAAAATCAAAATCAACATATAAATAAATTATAAATTTTATGTTTATAAAGTTAGAGTGAAAAAATTACAAGAATATTTAGTATATTGCGGGTATCATGACCTAGCGGGGCAGGTCAGCCAAAACTCGAATCCAATTCGAATTAAAGAATCAAAACCCTAACCCAACCCTAAACCAAATATAGTTGACCCTAACTCAACCCTATAGAATCTGGTCAAGCTGAATTTATCATTTAACTCAACCCATTGACATCCCTATTGATATTACCTTTCCCACACAATACAAATTACACACGTATTGAGGAGGAGAGCAACACATAACGTTGTTTCTGTTGGTCCTTGGTAGCAGATTTGGACACCAAGCTAGAGTTACAGAAACGCACGAAACAAGTGATCAAAAAGACTTAAATTAAGTAAATCAGCAAAAAAAAATCTTGAGTGTGTATGTTTTTTATGTGTAACCAAACGCAGCAGCTTAAGAATACATTTGGTTTGATAAAAACACAAGAAAGAACGCCCCCTACTTATATTTTGGTTTCCCATCTATGTTTATTAACTTTTAGCCCCTTAATCTATTTCTATTAGCTTTCTGCTATTCCTAAGGATGAGTTTGGATGGAGTACAAATGCAAATATGTAAAGTGCAAAACCTTATATTTTGTATGTATTTATGCTGTATATATTTGCATTTGTACTGCTTTCAAACTGAGCCTAAATAAAAAATCTCAGTTCTACCCATAGGAAACTTTTTAGATGTTTGAGATCTGAAAACTTTGCTTTCCAAATGCCACTTGCATTTGGGTTTAACTCTAATTAGAGGACATGAAACACAAATTCATATCTGAATTGATAAGACTCAGTTTCATGTTTTACTAGAATCAAACACATTTCAAACATCATAAAATGACATTAATGCCCTTATTATTATTATTATTATTATTATTATTATATTAATAATGATAATAATAATAATAATTTAATATTTTTTACTAATATAAATCAATATTATTATAAATATTTATTATTACTTAATAAATATAATTTTTTATTTACATAAATAAAAATATTTATATAGTAATAAGAATATTTAATAATATGTTCATTAGTAATAATTAAAATATTTTTTTATTATTAGTTAATAACAATAAATAATTATTTAATTCAAAATATCATAATATTTGTTTATTAATAGAATACTATTTTTGTTTAATATTCTTTTTATTATTTATAATATTATCAAGCAGTCTATTTTTAAAGATAAAATAATAAATTTCACAATTTCAGATGTTAGAGAATTGCTTGAACTCAAATGATTCTCAAACCTCTAAAAAAAATAAAAAATCATTCTCAAACCCGAATAATAGCCTTTTTAACTTTTTAGATTTATCAAACGGCACCTAAGCTTGCAGTCTTCTTTATTTATGCCCTCTGCATCCACACAAAAGAGACACTTGAATATAATACTCCGCACACAGACCTTCAATCATGGGCTTTGTGTTCTGTTTGTTTACTATTGGAAGTAATACATTTAATTTGTTTGTTGCAGCATTAATGAATTTGTTATCGTGTGTAAACAATACATATTCATAGGTTGCATTATCCTTGGCATCACTGAATGATGTATGTATGTATGTATCTATAAGTATAATATGTATATATGTATAAAGAATCGCGTAGCTAAAAGTTGTATCAGATCTTGGTCCGTTTGCTGTTACATTTGAGGGTTAATTCATCGAAGACCTCTGAAGCTTATATATGTTTGTGCCTGCACTATCAGCTCATGAGGCTTGATAGTTGAATTCTCAAACATGCACCTGTTTCTTGCTCAAACAGTATTTGCAACTTTTGTAAATTCCACCTTCTTCTACTACTTTGATCTCATGACATAAATTGTTTATCCTTTCCTTCTTAGGCTGTGTTTAGTTGCAGTGCAAATTTATTTACACTAGTATAAATGTAAAAAATGTAAGTTTTTATTTAATTTTGTTTTAGATTTTACTTTATCCTGTTTTATCTCTTAATTTATTTCACTTGAAACAAAATAAGTTAAAATTTGAAACAACAATAGATCTGAATTTACACTCAAATCATTTGCACTGTCATAGTTTTGTATCAGTGCAAATTTATATACATTGTAACCAAAAACAGCCGTAGGTTTTAAAACCCTCTCACTTGTTTCCACCAAGTGATTCATTTTCTAATTTTATCACCTTGAAATATATCAGTGTAGGAAATATAAAGATTTTATAAACAAACTCACCAACACTTTAATTTTCATACGTTACCAAAAATGTTCAACTAATAATCCCTTGCTTTTTAAGTTCAGGATATGATATTATGCTTCTCGCTTTCCCTGCTACTAGCTGATGAGAGGTTCTTTAAGGCTGTGTTTTGTTTTAGACATGCCAACCCATCAGATTTAATTCCATCCCGTCCAATTTAATTAAATCAGATTTCAATTGAATAAATCCAAACAGTACTCACAACATTTTAAACTGTGAGAATAAATTTTGTGAGGATAAAATCCAATCTCAATCTAGACACACGTCAAAATTCTTGCCATTCGTTGATCGTCCTCGGTCCTTCGTTTCTCTCTCTTTCTCTCCTATAAGGTAGGGCAGGTTCATGATAAGGCTACAAACGGATCATATTAAAGTATCTAAATCCGATAAATTTGATACATCTGAATTTTAATCGGACGGATATGTAAATCACGTATTTGGGTACAATTCTATATCCCATTTGATTAAAATATTAATAGATTTATATAAAATTAGCATAATTTATAATATTGGATATAAACTAAAATATATTATAAATTAAAAGTATAACTAACTCCAATTCCTATTTAATTCTAAGGAATTTTAATACTAAAAATGATATTTTGCATAATCAAATGGATCAGATCTTAACAGATTGGATCAAGCATTATCAAATTTGATCCAATTATTAAACGAAAGGTATTTTCAGATCCATGGCTAAATGGATATCAGAATGCAATTTAAACGAATTTGATTTGAATTTGGATTGAATCTATCTATCTATACTATATTATAAAGTGATTAGATTCTACATCACACCCTTCCCTTTCCCTATTTCTCTTCTTTTCTTAAACCCCTTTTCTTTCTCCTAAGTTTTAAAATATCAATATGCCCCTATGTATTGTCAGGGGAATATCGATACTTAAAATGGTATATTTTTATATTTTTTTAAATTTTTTTCAAAATTTCATTTTAGGCCTATTTTTAATTATATTTTACATTAAAGAGAGGTCGTTTCCCAGAACACCTGTAAATAGGTGTATCATGAAATGCCCGATACGATACGATACGCCCATATCACATCGAAATTTTGAATCTTGCTTTCTCCCCTACCCCTTCCCAGCTCTCTCATTTATTCTTCATTCCTCTCCCACCCATTCACATGGTATTTGCCTAAGTCATAATCGATGTAATAGTTGCCTAAACTCTTGGTTATTTATTTGTTTACGCTTCTCAACCTCAACAGCCACGAACTATAGCTTTGCAATGAGGTCTTCCTATGACTATTAACTCAAACAGTCAGAAACTATATTTTTACAGAGATCGAGAGAGGTGTAGAAAGAATAACAGAGAAATCAAGAGAGATGTAGACAAAGTTCATACAGTGACTATATTTTTACAGAGAGATTGAGAGAGGTGTAGGCAGAGTCATAGAGAGATCGAAAGAGGTGTAGACAGAGTTCATACAGATCCTTTTCTTAGCTATTTATTTTTTCTCTTGCCGCTCATTATATATATATATATATATTTTTTTTTTTTCTCTCCTTTTTTTTGTTCATGTCACTCATGGCGTTTATTGGTTCCTCTGTTTTTTTTTTTTCCTATTTTTTCTTTTGACCAACCTTTTTTTTTTGTCATCGTGGGTTTGGAGGTGCGTGGACTGTGCTTTAAGTGAACTCTCCGTTCTGGCGTTCTCGTCACGTTTGGACACACGCTCCACTGAACTTCACCAATCGACTGTTCTGACCTGCTAACCATGTTTTTCATTTATTTTTCTCCATTTATTTGAAACTTTACTATTGTTTCACCTATGTATTCGTTCAGATGGGGTAGAAACCAGTATTTTTTTTTTTTTTTTGGTTGCAGTCACCCCTGAT